AAGATGATCCATTTCAAGGGGCCTCATTTGATTCTCATTTAAATGAAGATCAATCCATGTATGTCAGGCATGATCACAACGACGGAATATGGATTTCAAAGAGGGGGAAAGTGTTTCGTAAGAAGATCAAAACAATTTAAACCAAGAAGAACATGCAAAAACATAAGAGTAGAAAAAGAAAAAGATCTTCTTAAACATGCATGTAAATTCTCTTACTATTTTCTTTGATTCTTTTATTTGTTTTAATTTTGTTCAAGTCAATTTCGTCATTAATGACTTTATTTTCATTTAATGGATTCTGATTCATTTTGTTTACTTGAATTTCATTGCAGATGGCAGACGATAGCGGATCTAGCACCGATAATCCATCTCAGCCGAGAGATGCCTCTGAGCAGAAGAGACAGTTGCAAAAGGAGGCAACACGCATACAGAGGGGCCTTTGTGTCATGCAAGAGGTCGTGAAAGCTCGAACAGAAGGAAAGAAATTTATCGTACAGTGGAATAAGAAAGGACAAGCTGTACGGTCAAATAAATTTATCAGCTATATTGGGGCAGTGGCACGAAGCACCGTGCCCATTACATCACAGCACTGGAGGAGGGTTGATCGTTCAGTGCGAGACACTATTTGGACAGATGTATTGGTAATATATTATAACAACTCAAATTTCGTTTTCTTACAAGCTGCGTGACACTAATGTGTTGTTTTATATGTTTCGCAGTCCGCATTTGATATAGATGAGAGCAGGAAGAAGTTTGTGGAGGGGAAGGCTGGGAGGGCACTGTGCTCTTTTCGATATTTTGTGACACACAAGTACTTGAAGGATCCTTCCACAGCCGACGAGTCCCAGGTTCCTAGCTTGATACAAGACTTGGTCAAACCAGAGGATTGGGCTGCTTTTGTGACATCACGTCGTGATAGGCAATTTCAAGTAATAATCCTCGCTCTTTTTGATATTAAATAGTCCATTTTGTTTAATCTATATATTGTTTAATTGTGAATCTACCTTGTTTTTGCAGGAATTAAGTTCCTAAAATAAGGAAAGGGTAAAGAAGAATGAGTATCCCTACTAAAAGGGGCGCTTGGGTTATGCGGGCCTCGAGCAAGAGGTGACTCAGAAGGAGGGATCAGATGTCACTGTATCCCGTCAGATGCTGTGGGCACTGGCCAGGCAAAATAAAGATGGCCAAATTGATAATCCTCGCGTTAAGGAGGTCATGGACAAGATGATGAGTATTATTCTAAATTAAATAATCCTCACGTTATTGTCAAATATCTTTAAGTATGAATAACTATATCAATGTTTGTTGCACAGGAGAGTTTGTCCCAGAAAGTTTCGTAGGGGGCATATTCTGCAGATGACCAGGATATATTGAGGAGGGCATTGGGGACTCCTGACCATCCTGGTCTTCTTAGGGGCGTCAGTTGTGGAGTCACCAAGAGAGATTACTTCGGGTAACGACAAAAGCCCTCTTCATCGTGCACGCCTTCCTCTGCTGAGTTCATACAGCTGAAGGAAGAAACACGCTGGTTAAAGGAGCAAGTTAAAGCGCAAGCGCTCCTAATCGAGCAGTTGATCAAGAACCAAGCACCACAGCCGGCTCCGAATCTCAGCCTAAGTGGCAAAGACAGCTGCACATGCCCCTTGCTACCTGAGGTATAATACTTGTGTTTATATAATTACATTCAATAATTTATATATCTAGCTAACTTGTCTCTCATGTTAAATCAGGGTGAAGTGGACGTTCAGTGTATGGCGGATAGCCCTAAACATCACACTGTTGCAACGGGCCGCATGTTCAATTTACCGGGGGAGAGTATGATTCATAATGTGCCTCTCCCTGCTGATCATGTGAGGGTGCAGTTGAACACTGCTATTGTCTTTCTTATACTTAGGGGACACTGGATGCTGATTGTGGTCAATCCCACAAAGCCGAGGATTTGGTATCTTGATTCTCTTCATGGGGATCCAACCAATCGACCATTTATGGTTTCATTGTTCAACATGTAATATTTATCTCTATTATTTAAATTTAATTTAATTTCTTGCTTCAATCAAATTTTTGACAATCATTAATATTCAATTTTATTGTCTTCTCAGGGCTTTGTGGCTATACCACACAAATCAAGCCTTACCCTGCCCCCCGGTAAAAAATGACCAATTTGACGATACCTTCCCGTGGAAGAAAGTGAAGGTATTCACTACCATTATTTACTATTATACTAAATATGGTTTATTTATATGATTGACTAATATTATTTCCTTTTCCATTCTTTACAATGCCCACGTCAGCCCAAAAAGAGCTCCCATTGTGGATATTGCGTGATGAAATTTATGAAAGAGATAATTCTGCACAATGTTGACACAATTCCCATGCAGGTAATATGCATTTGTTAAAGTTCAATTTATATATTTAAGAATTATTGTACTTACTGTAGCTTTACATTTCTATCTAACTTAAGTCATAATTTGTGGTTGCATACAATACTTTGCTGACACATATTGCACAGTGTATTCATCTGCTCAGATGGATGAAATCGTTGAGGAGTTGGCGATGGCCTTATTCCGTCAGTGGGCACAAAATAGATAGGGAAGTGTACATTAAGACAGTGTATGTACGTACAGCTAGCTTTGGTTTCAATATAATTTTGGTTTTGGTTCATTTTTGGCTGTTGGTTAGTTTTAGGCATTGCACAACTTTGGCAATTGGCTAATTTTGGAATTGGTTCACCTTTTGTACTTGCCAGAATTTTAATATATCACAGTTGGTTTTCATTGGTTCATGTATATATATGATAATGTAAATTATTTTTGGTTCATTAAGATATATGTATATGGCTAAATTGGTTTGAATGCTGGCCTGCATGATTCTGTTGAATGAGCCTTTGTTATCGGTTTCAAAATTACAGGGGGGCTGCTGGCAAAGCAGAACGAATATAAAAAAAATACCAATAATACTTGACGGTTATTAGTTAAAACCGTCAAGTATTCTAAAATACTTGACGGTTACTTTTGGAACTGTCAAGTATTAAAGAGTACTTGACAATTTTTTAAAAATAACCGTCAAGTATGTTTCATAATACTTGACAGTTTTGGGAACCGTCAAGTATACTCACTACTGTCCCAAAATAATTGACGGTTTTTCTTTAATAACCGTCAAGTATTCAGAACTTAGTTTACGGTTTTTTTGAAAAACCGTCAATTGTTTGAAGAATAATTGACGGTTCTTTGTTTAAAACTGTCAAATATGATTTAAATATTTGACGGTTAATAACCGCCAAATATTTGCTGTTGAAATATATGACGCCAGTATAGTTGATGGTTTTTAACTGTCAAATATGATCCAAAATAACCGTCAAGTATTTTTCATTTTGTAGTAGTGGTTATATTGTTTTTTTTTTTTAAAGCTTTTGGCACTCTTCTTAATTTGTTTTTAAAATTCAAATCACTAATACTCCTTCGGTCCTTAATATAACACCCAATTATTGAGTTAGTTTTAGTCCTAAATATAAGATCTATTTCTCATATTTATCAATTTTCTCTAAATTACCCCTATGGATACTCTCTCAACCACAATCAAGTAGAAAAGAAAGATGGGGTATTAAGAAAGATGATTATGGTGTTTTAGGAAAAATGTGTTAATTTTCTTATAATTAACTAACTTCCTTAATATAATTAAATTAATTAAATGAGTTTTATATTAAAGATCAGAGGAGTATGATTTTGCAAATCACTGCTTCATCCTAAAAATTCAGAAAATGGGATCTGAAGAAATTACTCCTCCAATCCTAAATATAAGAACCATTTTATTCTGCAATTATAGAGGGCTGTTGGAATTTTATATATATTTTGTCCCCCTTAGTTACTTCTCTTCTTTCAAATTCAACACCCAGGTAATTAGTTAATTACTTATTAACTTCTTCATAAGACAACTTATAATCTACAACAACTATATTATTGTTTAATTTCTACGCACACACGCATATATATATATATATATATATATTTCCATATGACAATGTTTTTTCTAATTTTGAAGCATAAAGAACTTGAAAGATGATGAGGGGAGAAGCAGCAGCAGCAGCGAGAGGTCAGAAATTGGAGACGATGTCTTTGGTTTGATTCTACAACGTTTGTGTGTCACTGATTACCTTCGAACCCAAGTTGTCTGCATAAATTGGCGAAACATTGTCCTTAGATCCGTGGCTGAAAAGTGTTGTCTACCATTACCTGATAAACTACTCCTCCGGTCTTTAATATAGGACTCAATTAGAAGGTTGATCTTGGTCCTAAATATAGGACCCCTTTCTCATATTTTTTCATTCTTTCCTAAATTACCCCTATTAGATAATTAAATACCACAATAATACTCATTATTCATTAATAATACACCTATATATTTTATAAAGTGAATGAATACTTATTACTTATTGATTCCACACAAACATCAATTCTACCATTTTATATTTTTAATAAAATAATTTAAACATTTTAAAAAAATATTTTCATACAAATACCCATTCAAGGTAATTGGATTTTTTTACCTCCGAGGAATAGCATAATAATAATCGTACTATCTATTTTCTTTGTGCCTAGAAAATATAATCTTCTATTTATATTTTACCCAATCAAACAGAAAAAGTTCCTGCCTGAAGAAAAAAAAATTAATTCTTTTTTCTTATAAACAGGAAAATTAAAAACAAATAAAGAAACAGAAACAAAACATTGAATTAAGTTACACCCTCTCGCTAACCCAAAAAAAATTAATTCTACACATTTACCATTCATTTTAAATCTACAAACTAGCATCTCATTATGGTTAAGAAAAATCATTTTGAGTCTATAAAAATTTCATTTAAAAAAAATTTATAAACTAGCATCAAACATATAAAAGACAATTATGTAGGCTGTGTGAATTTGTAAATCCCAAAAACAAAGATGACTATAATATGGTGGATTTCATTCGATCAAATGCTAAAATAGTGTTCCTATACATGTTGAAACAGTAGCTTTCCATAGCCTCAGCAATCCTGAGCTTTATTTATCTTTTGCATTTACTAATCAATTTATAACATGTTGCTATATCAAGCAATGAAGAATAAATCTTCAAGTCTTCAAAAACAAATAAAATGAAGCCTCATTTCTTCAATCTCAACAAGGTGGTAGGTTTGCATCAGTTAGTGAACGAAGCCAAAGACTAATCTGCCACATCGAGTCATCCAATGTTGCCACAGCTATAAATTATCCAACGCACAAAAGTTAAGTACCACAGACACATATTAACCAAAAGAACTAGGAAAAAAAAAAGAACTCAGAGAAAGGAAAAATTACCTTAAGTACTCCATCACTTCTTGTACTAGCTTTGGATCACACTTGATTTGATTGGGCAGTGGACCTTCCTTTTCCATGACTTCTTTTCTCATATGTGGAAGATCATATTTATTAGATCCTCTGACCTTCATGATTTCTACCATGCAACATTTAAGTGTTAAGAATATTTTGTTAGACTTAACAGCTAAAAATGATTCAAACGATTTAACCATCGCCGCAATTAAATCATCAACTGTCTTTGGTGCTTCCTTGTACTGTAAAGATTGTATGCCATTAAAGAACCCAAGATCTAGAATATTCAAGTCAGGAGAATTTGGAGGTTGGTTCATCAAGCGGATATTAAACCCATCTTCTGTGGCAACTCGACAGAATTCATTGTCATCTGGATCGATGTAACATCTTGCGTTGTCCTGCTGAATATATATCGGTTCCCCTATTGAATCTCTTGGCCACTTTTCTTTTATAGCAGGAACAACATGCTCAATAAGAAACTGTCTACTAACTTCTTTGGTAATTGAAGCTATGGGTTTTGTTACAAGGGAACCTGCACGTCTATTAATACTGTTCCTCTTTGTTGGCTCTTGTCTCACTAAAGGAAAGACTCCAATTTTCCCAGAGAAAATTTTATTACCTTCAGAATCAAACCTAGGACGAGCAACAGCAACCAAGAACATGACCTTTCCAATAAATTGTTTGTTCTTCACAGTACGCAATGGCTCTTCTTCTCTCGGTAGCATGTAATAGTTTACAGTGTTTTTAGTCATATAAAACCATTTCTCATCAACATGAACCATATTGTGCATGCTTTTAAAAGTTAGATCTCCTAGCATTAAACCACTTTCTATCATGCTCAAGCAAAACCGTAATCGAGCAATCATATTCTCTCCCTTCAAAAATGGCTTAATGGCATTAGCACGACGCTCAATAGCTCCCTCCTTTTTAAGCCTAATTAGTGAGGTCTTGTTTATATTCAAGGCAAATGATAAATCTCGCAAGGTAGTCCTCCTAGCCAAAGGAACTTGAAGAAACTGATCAAGGTCAAGTTCAACCTTCTTGCGACCACAATTTTGTGTTCTATTATGACACACTTCATCCCCAACCTTTGTTTTTCGCCAAATGCGTTTAATGACACTACTGGATACTGAATACATTGATGCAATCTTTTTCCTAGCCCCTTTAATTAGTCTCCCACCCTTACTATGCTGTAATAGGAGATGGGAGATGGCTTTACGGTCTTCATTACTCAAAAACTTACGTTGGTCACCTAAATTGAATCAAAGAAATCACAATTGAAGTCAAACAAACCAGGTCTGATATGAAGCAAAATGAAAAGGAGAAAAATATAAAGCTCACTTCTACTTTAGTTATTTAAAGAGTTTTCAAATCCAGAGTAGTCATAGGTCATAAGATTCTAGAAGCAAATCAATAGGCACACAATACTCTGTATATATCAACCCAGGCACACAATATTACGGTGGTGTGGGTTTCTTCAAATTAGAATGATTCGGGTCACAAAATAAGCATCATTAGGTTCAAGACTGGTAGTACCGGTACTAATATACTAGCGCCAGATTCTTGAAGTTCTAAGTGAAGATTATGATCATTAAAGTGGGCTAAACCAAGTTTTTACAACTAACCTCATGATTACCACTTAAACTACCAAGGGTATCTTTCTCACACATAATAGAAAGGTTTCTCAACCAAAAGGCTCGACCTTTTTCCCTCACCCTTGCTGTTCCCTCCCTATGAGATTCCTTGTACCCAAAGCAAATATTCTTGATAAAGCAGCTGAAAGTTGTGTCTTCTTTTTGTCCCCAAAGCAAATATTCATGCATTTAATTCTACTTGAATGTAAAGGCTTCAGGGTTAGCACTAAGAAAACAAAGTTAAAATTTGCCTTAAAAAATATTTGCAAGAGCTTCCCACGTTAACAAGGAAATTCCCTATAGCCTCAAGCAGCACAAAGGCAGAACAGAGCCTGTGTTTCAATGTAACTTAGTATCTAAATCAAAGGGGCAATACATACAGAGTATTATGTGCCTATTGATTTGCTTCTAGATACATATACTCAGAATTATAGCAACCTCTAGATACGTATACTCAGAATTATATATGGAACTAAAACTTTTGATTAGCACAAGGAGTCCCTGCCTCAGAATTATATACTCAGAATTCAAACTTTTGGTTGAACCATATCACTATATCAGAGAAAAGTATATGTCCAGCAAATAATTGTATACGCAGGAAATACAAGAAAAAAAAATGCTCCAAGTATGCCAATGTAATGTCAACATAAAGGTATACTCGGGTACCATTAGTTTCAGATGCACAAATGTGTTCCTCTTCTATTTGTTGTTCAACATCATATTCAGTGTCCAAAATTTCTCCCAAATAAACTTCGTCCACTCCCTGAAAGTCACTAGGCAGTTTATTCAGGTCCAAGAGAAACTCTCCTGAATGTGATAAGGAAAAAAATTACTCAGGTCCAAAAGTAATAACCAAACCATTAATGACATAAAAGCAATGTGATATTACAGAATTAGAAATCAAATTAGTAATTTATCAGATTCCTAGAATGTTCTTAATCTTTCATTAGGATAACAATAAGCTCTGAAGTCCTGAAAGCATATTAATACCATCATCTGCGCCAATTTCATCACTGTTCAAGTCCAAGTTCAACGGCATTGAGTCAGATTGATTCTCAACAGCAGCCACTTACAGCAAGCAAAATCTGAAATCCAGAGAAGCAACACTGATGAACTAAGCAAGCAAAACTGAAATCGATTTCATACCAAGTTTCGTTTCACACTAATCAGAAATGTGGACACTAATCCAGAGAAACAACATCAACGATTAAGCAAGCAAAACTGAAATCGATAAACATCTAAAATCCAGAGAAACAAATCAACGATTAAGCAAGCAAAACTGAAATCGATAAAAATCTAAAATCCAGAGAAACAGCATTGACGAACGAAGGAAGCAAAACCGAAATCTGACGGAAATCCAAAATCCATAGACGAACGAAGCAAGCAAAACTGAAATTTGACAGAAATCCAAAATCTAGAGACGAACGAAGGAAGCAAAACCAAAATCTGATGGAAATCCAAAATCTAGAGACAACATTGACTGCAAGCAAAACTGAAATCGACGGAAAATCTGAAATCTAGAGAAACGATATCGACGAACCAAGCAGTTGATGAGTGAGACCGATGACTCAGACGGTGCGTGAGCCAGGAGAACTTGGACGACGTTGTTACCGGAGGAGGGGAGTTAACTAGACTAAATTTTTTCAAATGTCAGTTTCTTTTTCGAAGTGTAAACCGAGGGTATTTTGGGATATCTATATTTATTACCTAATTTAACTACCATCCTTAATTTAATCAAAATAGTCAAAATGGTCCTATATTAAGGACTGAAGGAGTACTACTTGTTTTTCTTCATCATGCAGAGAATAATGACTCCAACAAACACTTTCCAATCTTCAACCTCTCCACAAAAGAACACTTTACAATGTCAGCCTCTCCACAGAAAGTGTCTCACCTTATTATTCTGGAATATTATCTTTAGGATTCTCTGATTGCTGCGGCACAGTGCAAGGTTGGTTGATCATGGTGGATCATGCTGGAAGAGTAATTTACCTTAAAATTAACGTGAACAATTTTGCCAATATTATTATTGGGGCACAAACCAACCCATAGGAAGAGAGCTCGGGAATTCTAACCTGGCCATGTGGGCGAGCGTTCTTTGCTTTCTTTGTGTTTTTTGGTTGATGAGCACCCATTGCAATTTCTGCATCCCTTGAACCACCCAAAGATCTCTCGTTAATATTTGCAGTACTCATCATCAACTATCATTCCTTTGTCGTGAACATAGATCACAAACCGCCTGAATTTTTCCACCGATGCCTGCTTAAGGAAAGGGGATTTTAGTAATCAACAATACACAAAGAAAAACCAACACAAAATAGCAAAGCTAACTTCAGTCTTTCTAAAGATCAGATTTCTAGTGAACAAAGAGATCAATTTCTCCACTGCAGCTACGAGCAATTTATAAGTGAATACATAAACGCAAAAGCAAGAACCTTTTCAGGCAAACTTAGATATGCAACAGCAGTTTGATGTTGGTGCTAAATTCAGTAATCATAACTGCAAATGATGCGGATACTTTTGTAATAATTATAGTAAAGGTTGTGTAGCAAACCAAAGTATGTTTTTCACTACTAAAAAAAACATAATAATTGATGGTTATTTTTTTGTCACATTTGACAGTTAAAAACCGTCAAGTATGCCAGAGTCATATATTTGTGTAAGGATATTTGACGGTTAATAACGGTCAAATATATTTAGACTAATAACCGTTAAGTATTTATTTATTTTTTAAATATGGGTACTGCTTTTCCAGCAGTCTCCTGCATTATAAAATTTCATACAAAGCAGCATTTTTTTAAAGACGGAACCAGACCAGCATTCAAACTAATATACAGCAAGCAATAATTCAGTCATATGAATCTAATTAACCTTGTACCAGATAGAAATTTACATTATATACATCTTAATAACGTAACAAACCAAATGTCATATGATTGTGTCAAGTCAAAGCAAAATTTTAATTTGGAAAAGCACAAAAGGCTAAAGCAAAAAACCAATTCCAAAATCAAAATTGGCCAATTGCCAAAAACCACAATAAAATTGAATTTACTAAAGTGGTCTTCTACTTTCCTATCTATTTTGTGCCCACTGACAATACAAAGCCATTGCCAACTCTTCAATGATTTCTTCCATTTAAGCGAATGAATACATTGTGCAATATGTGTCGGCAAAGTACTGCATGCAAAAGCAAATTAAAGTTAGATATAAATGTAAAGCTACACTAAGTATAATTCTAAAGTATATAAATTGAACTTTAACAAATGCATATTACCTTCGTAGGGATTGTGTTGAAATTGTGCATAATCATTTTCTTCATGAATTTTATCATGCAATACCCACAATCAGAGCTTTTGTTTCGTTGACATGGGCACTGTAAAGAACTGGGAAAGGAAATTATATTAGTGAATAATATAAATAAATCATATTTAGTAGAATAGTAAATAATAGTAATAAATACCTTCACTTTCTTCCACGGGAGGTTTCGTTGAATTGGCCGTTTTTGATCGAGGGTAGGGTAGAGCTTGATTTGTGCGGTATAGCCACAAAGCCCTGAGCAGACAATAAAATTGAATACTAATGACTGTCAAAAATTATATTGAAGCAAGAAATTAAATTAAATATGAAGAATAGATATAAATTTTACTTAAACAATGAAATCATAAACGATCGATTGGTCAGATCCCCATAAAGAGAATCGAGATATCAAATCCTCGACTTTGTGAGATTGACCACAATCAGCAGCCAATGTCCCCTAAGTATAAGAAAGAAAATTAGAACAATTACAAAATATTTTAAAATAAAAGAATTTAAGGAAGTTCAATATACTATAATTGACAGTAAGACGCCAAAAACAAAGTCTCCCGAGTCTTTGCTGCCCTAGAAATGAAGATATCTGTCAAATCTCTGGATAAGTCTTTTCTCTTCATTGGAGTGACGCCATTTCTTCCATTACCTAGACACAAGCTTCCTCTATTACCAAAAACACAATCTTGGGGTCGTTTGATTCAAATATGAAAAAAAAACAACCATATTTCTCAATCGAACAGCACATAGAAGTGAT